ACTATTCCTTAATAAGAGCTAAAAGCGGCCCAAGTTGTCAATTGATGATATTGACTAGCTGCCTATCACTCTTCTCTGTAACTGCTAAATTAGGGATGGTTAGTGGTGATAACCCTTGCTTAGCTTTTCACAAACTTAAAACAACATAATGCACTTCTTTAAGCTAAGTTTAAAGTTAAAGCCAGTTTGTTTGTTTTTTTGTAAATCAAGAAAAATGCATACATTGATACAGTCAGCTATATTTAAGTTAAAGTATTTTTAAAACAAATATGAATTTTATATTAATAAGTAATATATAATACTTCTGTTTTATACGTTAGCTCTAACAGTAACTCTGATAACGGTAGATAACCTGTAGCTTAGGAAGCCAAATACTGAAATCGTCCGGCCTATTTGCGTGTTTCTGGTTGTGACCTATTCAACTTATGATGTTAGGGCTTAAACCAATGCATTCTACTCGAAGAACACAAAATACTGAAACTCATAGGATATAGTATTAGAATCATAAAACGATATGGAATGAGCCGAAGGGTTGTCTTTTTAAAACGAAAGTTTTGCTATTAATGTGTAAAGTTTTCATAACTTTCAGACATATGCAGCACCTCTATACCTACAACTGTACAAGACTTAAATTAGGCCTTAAGTGTAATTCACCATTGTCTGTAACCTAAGTTTTGTTCCTGTTATAGAGAAACCGAGGAAGTAACTGCATATAACTATTACACTCATTATATTTCTGTTTTTCTATATATTCTTACTTGATCTTCTTACAACACCACCAACACACTGCAATTTCTAATCCATATATCCAGAGTTAAAAAAAAACAAAAAAAACAAACAACAACAACAACAAACAAGTACACATCACTAAGTTGAATAGGGGGTAAGGAAACAAATCGTATATACATGTAACATTACTAAATTAGAAGGAGGTAACGAAGCCAAAAACACATAACCTTATTATTATTATCATGAACTTCTGAAGGCGATCGCTGAAGAGAATTGAAAGCTATCTCTTATTAAAAACTTTAACAATGCAATGTGCTGTATACCCATTTTTTGATATTTAATATTGTGTATGCTAATTTTTATAGCTTTGAGTCTGTAACTTAAGTTATGCTCATTTAGACCTGTACAGAAGTAAAAATAAGAACTAAGCGGAACTAGAACTTAGACGGCTCGAATAGGCCTAGGATGTGATGATCACCTGAGGTTTAACTTAATAATTTAATGTTTAACTAGAAGCTTTATTTGTACTCATCTTCGAGATTAAGTACCACAAACGTGGCATAAGGATACAACCTTGAAATCCACCAACTGTACTATAAAAAATTAAAAACAGCCAAATTATTTTTCTTGATACTTACAAAAATAAAAAAATCTTCTTAGAAAACAATAAAACATCGAAATAAACTAATTACACACACTGAATACTGTTAAATGCAAATTTAATAGCAAGAACAAATACATAATTACATCAAAAAATAAATACAATAATTGTAGTTCTTTAGGTATTGTTAAATATGGAATTCGCCGACGTTCGTAAATATACTCACGTATTAATAACACAGGCATCGGGTGACGTTTAGTTAGAATTTATTAATCAACATTTACACACAAAACAAACATCTTACACTATTTTTTGTTATTTAACTACACTCATAGAGGAGAACATGTGCATAAAAAAATGGTACTTTTAATACAAATTAATTGCTTAATTAATGATAGTTATTAAAATATAAATGCTTACACTGGCGGACAAAGAAATGGGAACTATAGAAATTAGAATATCTAGCAAACACTAGAGCATTCGCCAAAGTACATGATAGTTCTAGAAACGTTGCGTCACAGTAGTCATGTGACTCGATGACGCAACAATATATATATATATATCAACTTAGGATCATGTTATTTACAAATTAAGCCCAAAGTGTGGCGATCAGTTGAATAAATGAATTAAAAAAATCACAAAATATAGATAGTATCATTTGTTTGTTTGTAGTTAAGTTCAAAACTCCACAATGCGAGAACTGAATTCGTAATCTGACTTTTAGCGTTATTAGTCCACAGACTTTCCGCTTAGGTGGGGTAGGCGGATTTTCCCCTCTTATATATACGTGACGCGAGAGATTATTGTACTGTGTGTGTAGATAGTGAGTAATTGATCTGCGGTCAGAAGTATTATTGACGTTCGTTGATATAGCGCGAGCATTGAGATTAAGTGTATCGAAGAGTTATATTCGGAAAGAATAAACCAGTTTTATTAAGTAAAGACTTGTGTCGTTAAAGTTTCGTTGGAACGAAGTTACGGAAAGTTAATTAACAAACGGAGACGTAACAATATTATTGGTTAAACACCATGTTTTTATTTCTCTTATTGCATGCGTGTTAGATACTACATGTGGTACTATAGATTATTTATACAACCAAGTGCCTAGTAGAATACGATTAATTCAGATTGTTTATCTAAATAAGATGGTCTAGGGCCTGGCATGTCCAGGTGGCTATGGCGTTCGACTTGCAATCTACGGGTCACGGGTCTAAAATCCATTCCTTAACATGCTCACCCTTACAACTATGGGGGCATTATAATGTTATGATCAACCCCTATCCATTAATAAAAAGTAGTCCAATAGTTGCCTTCACTATGGTCTATCACATTGAAATTAGGGGCAGCTAGCGCAGATAGTATTCGAGTCGCTTATGCACTAAAAATTCAAAAATCAAACCAATCACAAAAGTGATACACTCGAATAAAGCCTATAACAGTACAGACTGACATGCTATGCTCAGTAGTAGTTTTCTAAATATAGTCATGGCAATTGTGATTGGTCAAATATACTCCATGCAAAAAGTTACAGTAAAACTCCATGTTTTAGTGGGAGCTGTATGCACTGGAACTGTTTTTAATGAAAGTTGGAAACTGAAATTTTACAAAAGCGATATTAAGTATCTCATGGTATGTTCTTTACGAGATAAACGACAGTCTAATAAAAACCTTGCCAACGGCCTTGTTAAACGAACGTGAATGTTACCTCGAGAACTGGTCTCAGTGGATGTGCAATTGCTCGAAAACCATCGCCAAGAAGTAAACAAAACAAAAGATTGAAATGAGATTGAGGCTACAGTCAGTGGAATCAGCGAAGCTGGAGATTTGTGCTCTTTTTCATAAGAATACAACTTCGATTTGTTTGGAATATCAACGACAGTTTTCCACTGGCGGGTAAGTGAACAATATGATAGTCAACGACAGTTTTCTACTGGCGGGTAAGTGAACAATATGATAGTCAACGACAGTTTTCTACTGGCGGGTAAGTGAACAATATGATAGTCAACGACAGTTTTCCACTGGCGGGTAAGTGAACAATATGATAGTCAACGACAGTTTTCTACTGGCGGGTAAGTGAACAATATGATAGTTAACGACAGTTTTCTACTGGCGGGTAAGTGAACAATATGATAGCCAATTTATAACATCTACACTGAAGCCAACGGTGTCTGTGATCTACACAATTTTGATAGTTTTCTGACAAGTACAAGTACAGACAAATTATGATTCATCATGTCAAAACCTTAGGAACATGACTCCCTGGGTAGGTGGGGGTTAATTTTCCAGTAAAGCAGTTATCTCAAGCACACAGTAAATGTGATATTAAAGAGGCCGATGGAACACTCATAACCATGGCTTGGTCTGCACAAAGTCCCAACATGAACACTCTTGGGGTGAGGCTATATGACATTATTAATAAACTGAGGATGTTGAACGACGATTAAACAATTTCACTGAATATTGGGGGAGTAATACAGGATACTTGGAAATATTGGGGGAGTAATACATGATACTTGGAAAAATATTCCACAATCGTATTTTGATAAGCTGTATAGCAGCATGATTGTTTGTTTGTTTTCGGATATTTGCGCAAAGCTACTCAAAGACTATTTGCGGTAGCTATTACTAATTTAAGCTGATAAACTAGAGGCAAGACAACTATTCAACAGCATAGCACCCGCCGCCAAAGCCTTGGGCTACTCTTGTCTGGCCGAATTCTAGAATTTGACCGTCATTCTTATAACGCAGCCACGGTCCCAAAGTGTGGAGCGAGATGTTTATTTATTTTTGCAGTAGTGGAACGTGAACGATAGAACCGTAGGTCCATAGTCTGGCTCGCTAACCACTGAACAATACTTGATCTAGCAGCCTAAAACAAGATGTAAAGCAAAGTGCTCAAATCATCTATTATAACAATACTCGGTTTTTGTCTGTTCTGAAAATGCGCGCGCACTTTCAACGGAAGTAAATTAACCTTAGAAAACATTTTGTACAACAAGATATTAAAAGCTTATTGAAGTTTTTAAGAATCTCTAACGTTAGGTTGTAGGATAACATTATAAGTTTATTTATTATTGATATTAAGTACAGTAAGGTTTAGCTCTAACTAAACTAAAGTAAACAACGTACACAACTTAAAGTGTTAACTTGTCTCTTTATCTTTAAATAAGTCGAACTGAATAAAGGCTTAACTAATGTTAGGCCTAAGACAAGTGAACTTATAAATTACTGTGTCTGTGATTAGAATTATTTTGTATTATTCTATAAATCCTGTATTTAAAGAACTACTTTTGCAATAAATATACTAATTTGATCGCAAGTATTTTGCGGGTCTCAGCTAGTACAAAATAGTAATGTATTGTACAACTTAGTCACTTTTTTTGTATTTTCTACAATCATGTTTTGCATCGTTGATAAATTTGCCATTTATTTACAATTACTTGTTGTTTGTGACTCTGGTATATACGTGTATCACCAGTGCGTTCCATAATTATTTCCAGTACTATAAACATACATACACACTGAAACGTTATGGAATAGTCTTTATCAATACTGTTACGTCTCCGTTTGTTAATTAATTTTCCGTAACTTAGTTCCGACAAAACTTTAGTGACACAAGTCCTTTCTTAAATAAAACTGGTTTATTCTTTCTGAATATAACTTTACCGATACACTTAACTTCAACAGTTGCGCTGTAACAAACTATAATTCACGTATCACGAGCTAGACTTCAA